GGACCTGTTGGAGCGGGTCCAGAGGAGGGCCACAAAAATGATCAGAGGGCTGGAGCACCTCTGCTATGAGGAAAGGCTGAAAGAGCTGGGGTTGTTCAGCCTGGAGAAGAGAAGGCTGCGGGGTGACCTTATTGCAGCCTTTTGGTACTTAAAGGGGGCTTATAAGAAAGATGGGGACAGACTTTTTAGCAGGGTCAGCAGCGAATAGACAAGGGGTAATGGTTTTAAACTAAAGGAGGGTAGATTCAGACTGGATGTAAGGAAGAAATTTTTTTACAGTGAGGGTAGTGAAACACTGGAACGAGTTGCCCCGAGAGGTGGTAGATGCCCCATCCTTGGAAACATTCAAGGACAGGCTGGATGGGGCTCTGAGCAACCTGATCTAGTTGTAGATGTCCCTGCCAATTGCAGGGGGGATGGACTAGATGACCTTTAAAGGTCCCTTCCATCCCAAACCATTCTATGATTCTATGATAGTGTTACTCTTAGCCACATTTAATGGTACTGCCTAGTAGTTAATTCTGTAGGAGGCATGTATTACAGAAAAATATACCTGGTTAAGGGTTAACCTGACTTCTTTACTCCTTTTAAAAGAACAGGGAGTGAAATTTTTTTTAAAAACTGAAACTTAAACTCATACATTGAATTATTTTTCCAAAACACAGGAAGGTAAATAATTTAAAAAAATCTTATGATATTAGCAATAGAAATAAAGAGTTAAATGGAATTGATAACTCAGAAGTATAAGTGAAGGCATGTTACTGAATAGTGTTTATATATGATGATTACTCTTCCCTGAATCCAGACCAAGTTTTAATTAAGTTACATAATTACATGTCTACAAAACTTTACTAGAGAATCAGTAATTTGATGATGGCTGCGTGAGAGCAAGTATCTACCAAAAGAAATAGTAGCTGATATTATTGATATATGCAATTTGAATGCAAAAAATAATGATTTTAAATAAAATAAAAAAAAAATTGAAGGGTTTGTTCTCTAACAAAGAAAACTAATATGCGTGAAGACTTGTGTTACGGAAGCCAACTGACAACCTGGAAAACATAATTAATGTAGTCCTCATCTATTCAAAATCATATTTTATTTTTACAACATGAAAAAGTATACAATTATATAAAACCAATTCCTTTTGATTTCTTATTCGAATGTATACATCGCTGTTCTGAGAATTTATTGCAAGAAATATTAGGAAGCAAAATTAGCACATTGAAGAGAAAGAAGCGCAAAACTGTCCACAGTTTGAGGCAATATATTTCTCAATTATTATAGTGGTGTTTTTTCAGAAGCATTTTCACTAGTCTATAGCTGGATTCTCGAACCCCAAGACTTTCCTCACAGTCAAATGATTTTTTTTTTTCCCCCCCCTGTGTTAGGAATTACATAAACACAGTAAAGGACTAAGTCTGAAGCGGGGAATGTCTTTGGGCTTGGCACTGGCCTGTAAATGTCCTCAGCTGTGAATAGAAAGCTTTGCTTACTCTTCACTCATACCATGTCTGGATTTCTTGCATTCACCTAAAAACCTGCAGCAGCATACATGTTGATTTGAGTCTTTATTGCTCCCACTTCTTCCCATTGAGATTAAAATTTTTTTAAACTTAGTTAAAACATTCTGAAATTTTGTGATCATCATTCACATTTGAGATAAATGTTTATTTTGCCCAAATGTGACCTTGTTTCAATTCCATTTTAGAACAACAGGATTGACTCTAGTTTTTTTTATGTTTGTTTAAAAGCCAAAATATCTTGCAAAAGGACTTTATCAAGATTGATTGTATTACAAAAGAAAGCACTTTGTTAATGATGGAGAGCTGATAGTATGGTAACAGAATAATGTCTTACAAATATAAAAGTAGTAAGAGCTTAAAATGAACTGTTGACACCATATAGTTAGTACTTAAGAACTTTATGAATAATACTACACCTTTAAGCCACCCAACAGTACTTTGTAGTTGAAACATTGAGAACTGGGAAGCCGAAGTAGCTTAAGTTTTTTTTGAATATCAGAGGACCCTGACATTGGCATGTGATTGTCTTTGGTTAAAATTGACCACTTGTACATCCTGTAATTTGTAAACAGACAGCTAACAGTAATCGGGCAATGAATATACTTAACCTAGTTAAGTTTCCTAATGTTGAAGGAAACAGGATCTTTTCAGAATCTTTGTACAGGGTGTCAAATTTGTAATTCTCGGTACCTGAATGTTTCAGTATTGGATGAAGAGGTATATTCTTGCTTGTGACTTATGCTTTGAAATATATTTAGAAGTGTTATTGCTGGTAGCAATGTTAGTGGTAGTTCTTTGAAGTAATCTATATGTGTTTGCAAAAAAAGCATTTATATATTGCAGATATTTTGTGTTCTAACCTTCAAATCATACTCTTGATGATCTGACTTTTTAACAAAATGTTTCCTTGAAACATTTTCCAGAAGTGTTTAATATGCTAAATAAATTTTAATCAGTTCTTCATGCTAAAATTTGCACTGTGTGTTCACTTAAGTATTTGAACTTCTGAGTTCAGTTATCTGTTTGTTTTTCCTTTCTCCTTGGTATATCCTTTTGACTTAACACGGGAAAAGATATTTTAGGTTTGAACAATATATCAAGCATAGCTTGCTATTAATACTGCTGAAGGAATTTTTACAATTCTTCCTCCCAATCACAGAGACATTAGATTTTCTGAAATACTAGCTTGCTGAAAAATTGCTGATTTATTACCATTTGATACTAAAAATCTGAAAAACCTAGTGATGGTGATTGAAAGCGATGATTCTTACAGTTGTTAACTTGAGGATGAACCTATTTGGAGGTTACTAATAGGGACTGTTGCGGTCACCTCCATCTAAAATATTAAAAATCTTGCTAAGGACCTGTGAGCTCCTTTTCAGCAAATAACAACTGATGAGAGATCTAAATGTCATCATTAAGACAGGCTGTATTAATTGGAATGTTTTTTTCCCCCTTGTAGTGGTCATTCGTTGTGGCTACAATCACAGAAATTCCACCAGTTGCCTTTCTTCCCAATTTCGTTGTTCAGAGAAAAGTTTTGAAACCGTTACGAACCCAGACAGGAGGAACAATAATGGTAAGGTGCTCTTGATTCACTTTTATCGTATTTAAACTTGAGCAAAACACTGTAAACCTGTGAGTTGTAATATTTTGTATAACTCAAAGGCTTGAGGCCTGTAGAGGGAAGTGAGTTAGTGTACAGTCCTAAACATGAGCAAAGTTTGCTGCTTGTTAGCAACTACCAAGGTGAAGGACATATCTGATTTTATGGTCTGTAATTTGCAGAAGCAGAAGAGACAGTAAGGGGTTAGTTATGAACAGCGTTCTAATACAGGCAAATTCTAGGAATGGGAGGTTTCAAAATTGATAATATAGAAGCTATTTTTAAAGCACGTATTTACCAGATGGCCTTGGTACTCTATGGGAAGAAATGCGTGGTTTGGTTGCTCTTGAGACTAGGTAAATGTTTAAATTTAAAAATCATATCACCTTGCTCATTTTAATGATTAAAGTTAGTTTATCTGTTTTTTCTATTGTAAATACTACATAAGCAGCTCGGCTGAACTCAAGTGAGATGTAGCCTGTTTCACCTTAACAGAATTGTTTTCTAATTAGTTAAATGAGTGCTCTGGTCAGAAGAGCTGTGTAAGTGTCGCCAGATATTTAATTTTGCTTGAGAATTGCTATTAGAGATGTTGAGGAAGTAGGAGCAAAGAAAACAGTTAATAGCTGGAGCCAAGAGTGAGTTATTTAAACCATGTATTGAGGAAAACATGCCTTCATAATTGTAAACCGGTAACTAATGGAACCTTTTCTGCTCTTTTTATCATTCCTTGTCATATTAGAGCTAGAGTTCAGAAACTATGCAGCATGGTGCCTCGGAGAAGATGGTAACAGTCCTGATCTGTCTTCATAGACACTGAGCTGTAACAGTTACATAATGGAAGACAAATAATCTTATCTGAAATAATTAATATTATGGTACAAATAGATCTTTGCTGCATTTTAGGTACTCTTCCTGAAGGTAGCTGTTACAGTGAGTGCATGTGAAAAGGATAGAAGCCCATATTGCTTTTTCTATATCTCTTTGAAGCCAGTTATTGAAGAACACTATTCTGTGGGTTGGCAAACCTTTCAGAATATGTCTAAGCCAGACAGGAGAATACGATGTATTGCAACTACTAGATATTAAAGGTGAGCGAGACTGGGAAGCCGTAAATGAACAATAAAGTTGTTGGTACTTAGTAATTGGTACTTAGTTGGTACTTAGTAATCTGCACTGGAATCAAGGTTTCTTATTTTTAAATGCTTACATTTGTGAATGTATCAAGAAATCATTAAAGACATAAATAATATAAAGAGGGCTTCTATGACTAGTGCATAAAAGGCAGTGCAGTATGGTTTTCAGAAACAATGAAAAAGGTTGCATTTGTTTGTGAGTCCGACCTATGAGAATGATGTGAGTGAGCCCAAAAGTTTGGTGAATCAGTTCTCCAAGTTTGCCTTAATTTCGTGGGGCTGACATGAGATTAACTGTTGCTACTATAATTTGTGTGTATAAGTGGATCTGGGCACTATAAAGTTTCAGCCCTCTTGGGTTTTACTGTGTGAAATGAAAGTAGAGAGCCAGTTGTTATCAGATTTTAAGGCAAGATGAAATATCCTGCTTTTCTGTTGTATTTACTTTTTTAATGATAGAACCTACTCAATGCCTGATTCTTTATCAGAAAAAAAGTCAATTTTTTTCAATGTTTCAGTACTCTGTTGTTAAATCTGTGTCCCATCCAGCTGATGGATTTGCAAGTGTGTATGTAAAAGTAACTCTCTGGCAGTTGTTTTTTGTTACCAAAAGGTAGCAGAGGAAGGAAGAGAATGGACTGGGCAACTTGTGACTAGACTTAAATATCTACTGTTAAGATTCAGAAACATCTTCTAACAGTGTGACTGAATTGTTTTAAGCATGTCATCTTAACTCCCTTTGTAATATCCAAAACACTGGTCGTAGATATTTAAAAATCTGGAGCTCTTCAAAAAGTTTGAGTATATCATCATATTTGAGCTGTGTTGCAAACTGGTGCATCTTATTATTTATAATGGGGAATATAGTGTTTACGTAATGTAGCTCTTCGTGATACTGTGAAGTACTTGGAGAAGTTGAAAACTGTATCGACATACATATGCATGTGTTCAGAAAAATCTCATTTATGATGGGAGGAAAAGGTGAGAGTTATAATCATAGCAGAGAAGTAGCAAAGGAATATTTGCAGTAAGTTTTTGAACTTAGGGATAGTAGAGGGAAAGATCAAAAAGTCACCTCCTTGATGCTGAAATTGTCTGTGTGAAGTGAGTTAACTGCTGCTTATTGCTCTGAGCTGTTAAATAAAAATGGCCAATGGTTCCTTCCTAAATCATTAGGACAATAGCGAGCCTTGTGATATTTGCCAAGTTTAAGTAGCTTTGCGTGTTGCTGAGTCTGGTTTTAATTCAGGCTTGTGAGTGGGAAATGGCTTTCTTTATTTTATAAAAGTTGTATGTATCTTGCCCACTTTAGACTCTGTTTCTCCAACTATTGTTCTTGCCTCTTAAATCCCATTTCCTAATTCTACTTTAATTCTCGTGTTGCTCTGTCTTCTTGGATGTACGTTATTTAAAGTCAAAGAATAGTGAGGTAAGGAAATATGTGGAAGTGTTTGTACAGTGTAGCGATGTCTGATGCTTTTGTTGAAGCCTAAAAGTCTGCATAAGCATGAGAAAACCAGATAACCTACTGAAAATGTTAAACCAGCCTTTAAGGATGATTTAAGTATATGAGTTTGAAAGGAACATGCTAGGTTCTGGATAAATCTTTAGACTTGTTGGATTATGGTAGTAGGCTAGATAACAAAAAGTGCTACCTGCTTTAGTAGGTGTTAACTGGCAAAAGGGGAGATGATAGAAGTGGAACACCGTGCATCTCCCTAATGCAAACCTGCATAAAGCACCTGGAACATTTTCTCCTGGCAGTTTACCAGCAAGAGCTGGAGATATCAGCAAAACCAGTTTGGTGCTGATATCTGTAGACATCTTGCTTTCAATGGACTGCTGGGAAGTTTGCGGGTAGTTTGACTTTTTTTTTTTTTTTAAACTTGATGTTACAGACTGGGTAACAGTAGAGAGAAAGTTCTGGTTTCATGTGGTTCGTATAGTTCAAAGTGCTTAAAAATTTTTGGTTTTACTCACAGACAAAGAAGTAGCTCCAGTCTGTCTCCATTTAGTCCTTCAACATCACTTCAGACTCCTGGTCAGTTCTCTCTTCTGTGCCTTATTTCTGACTGCAGTCAGTAGTGGTTATTGAGATGAGGGATTTTGGTCTGCAAAGTCCTATCTGAATAGGAACATCCAGAGTCTTCTCTTATTACACCCACTCTGTCTTTCTGTACAATAGTTATGAGGAATGAAGGAAATGGTAGAAGAGAAAAATAATTGGGAAGAGTCTAGAGTTTCCTAATATTCTACCTTTGGTATTTCTTGAGGGTCTTGACAGTACGTGTGTGTGAAATCTATTTCAACTTCATTCTAATTAGTCAATACTTTTATATAGCTTTGTGGTGTTTTTCATTGTGCTTGTGTTATCTTTAATTCATAAGTGTGTGTTCACTAGTTATAAATGTGGTCATGCAGAAGAGATAGCCACTAGTTGTCTATTATGTCTTTGTATCATGCCTCCTGAAATACAGATGACATCACTGGTCACTTTTGAATTGATCTTGATGCCATATGCTGTTATTTTTACTTTTTTTATTTTTCGTTATGGGGAAATAGGTATGTACTTTAAAAGCAGTTTTATTCATCAGACAATAAAATTTGTACAGTACAAGTCAGAAGTACAATTTTCTGCTAGTCCTGAAGGTCCTGTTTATCATGAAAATTCCTGTTGAGTTTCTGTATTTTTTAATTATTTTTTTTTTTTTTTAGCAATGCAGGAAGATTGTTTTTTGGTGAGGAATCCCTAGGAAGTATGCTAAATCACAGATAATGTGCTTTCCCTGTGACTTAATGGGTTTTATAGTTCAGAAACTGCAATCTTTTCTCAAGATCTAATTTGCATAAGTTAGCACGTTCATAACAGGATGATGTTTACCTTCCCAGTAGTTTTCTTAATACTAAATCATAACTGTTCAAATATAAATATTGGTGGTGATGAATTCTCAACTGTCCAAACTTCCTTTCATATATGATGTGTAATATGTTCTGTGATTATTGAAAAGAATAATCTATTCTCCCCCCCCCGCCCCCCCAATTATAGCTAGTAATATCTTCTTTTTTTAACATGACAGTTAAGGAATACTGCAGTTAAACAATTGCTTGACTCTTCCTGGCCAAAATAAGTCAGGTTTTTAAATTAAAATGTCATCATTTAAGTCTTGTGTGTCTCTTCTCTGTCAATACTTTCCCTTCCCTGAATGTCCTCTGAGTTCAAAGGAGAGATACAGGCACAGTTTTTCTTTATTGGAGGGAAAAATATTGGTAATATTCTATACTATGCATGTTATATCATTTTAAAAAGTCACAGGACACTTCATACTGTAGCATTTTTCTGTCCCCACCCCCAGCTGAAACTATGTTAATCTGTATTTTCAGGATTTTGAGCTTACGTTCTTCCTATTTTTACATGAACAGGAAGGATATTGGGAGATTCTTGCTCAATTTTTACTCTTAACAACACTTGTACTGTCTCTTTTTCATTTGTCTGCTGGGGGTCAGTGTTCATCTCTGCAAAGCACAGTTAGTTTTAGATCCATTCAGCTGCCAGAGACTGAAATACAGATGAGATATAAAATATTTTTTCAACTAATTATGCTGAGGATAGTTTTGTATGGTTCGTATTCAGAGATCTGATTCAGAATGACCTGCAGCGGTAAAACATCCGAAAATTCAATGGACATGTCGGAATGCCAAGAGTTGCGTTTGGGGTGGAAGCAGACAGTGTTAAATGGTTGCCTTGTTCATTCATGAAGTTCTCACTGTAATTTTCTTAAGGCAGGAAAACTTGCTGTTGATAGAGGCTGGGCAATCAACGTGGGTAAGTACAAATGTAGTGCATTAATGACATTTGAAATAGTGTGTTTAAAATCATATTATTTTCATTTAGCATGTTGTGTATTCTATTTATAATAGCAGAAAGTGACTGGATTGTGTTTAACTAGAATCAACTCTAAAGGAAAAAAATGGAAAAAGTACTGGATTTGTTTTCTCATCCACTATCACCCATATTGCAGTTTTATAATTAAAATACTTTTCAGAAAGAAAAAAAAAGATAACTGGATAAAGATATGATATCGTATGTAAAGAAAAGTGGTTGGATTGGAGTAGTGAAAAAAAATTAAGGAAAAATATTTTGAGTAAATGTAAATATGTCAATAAAGTCTTTGTTTTCATTAAATTGTAAAATAATTTTCATAGATAGTATCAACTGTTTTATATATTATACCAGATCAAGGGATTGGTTGATATGCTGGAGAGCAGTGCTGTACCAGTTAGTGTCTATTTTTGGCTATGCAGTTTTTCCTGAAAAAGACTTGAATGAACAAATTATGAAGAATATAGTGAGTATAAATCTGCTCTCCTGCTCATAGCAAATAGCAATGCAAAACCAGTAAACTATTGAAGCAATATTTTGTGTCATGTAAGACTTAGCTTGTCGGTTTCATAGAGCTCATCAATTCTGGGATTTTTCCATTATTTCTTACACACATCTTCTCAAAGTGAATATCCAATATTAAAAATTAAATAGACATTAAAAACAAACCCAAAAGCCCGTTACATTTACTGATATGTAAAGTGAGCGTGCTAAGTTACTTGCTTAGATATTTGTAGTGGGTTTCTCAGTAAAAAGTTCTGGTTTATTATATAAAAAATATGTTTGGGGAGGGGGAGGTCTAGGTAAAGTCTTTTTTTCATGTAAAGAGTGTGTGTGTTTGTGTGTTAAAGAGGAGTTAGTAAAGTTTCTTCTCGTCTGAGTGTTTACAAAAGACAATGATGTGCAAATAATAACACCGTGGTTCATTGGTTATTTTTTTTGACCTGGTGTTCAGATAGAAAAGAACTTTCCACGTGTCCTTTCCACCCGCCCCATAATGTTAATTATGCAACTCCAGCATGCCTGGGGGAGCTGAACTTGCAAAGCAGCATGCTTTGTCGTGGAGGCGCCATGTGTTACATATGTACGTTTCTCAGTTCTTAGGGAGATTTCTAGATGAAAGGGACAATTCCCTTTAATCTGGGCATCTGCAGATCCTTTGCCTGATGGTCTTGTAGGCCACACATAAGCTACGTACAGAAACCCTATGAGATGTTTTGTGTTGCTAGGTAAGGGTTTATCAGCTCTAGGCACTGTATTTGCTAAAGAAAAAAAGTGTCTGACATGTAAGTGATCTCTGTCTCTTTGCAGAGACCACCATCTATATTCCTTAGTATCTAGCTTTTCACCTTTTGAACATTTTTACATTTAGGGGGTGGTTTTCATCACTGTTCAAGTGACAAAGGTGGAGGATTTTGTGCATATGCTGATATCACACTGGCTATAAAGGTAAGATGTACTCTTAAGCCAGTATTTTCTCCTGTTTGTGCAAATGGGAAAAAATCCACATAAATTCATAAGAACTAATTTACATCTTAATAGGAGAAAATAAAGCCATCTATAGGTGGGTATGAATAGGAAAATGGTGTGGTACTTGATGCTGCAGAACATAACACATATGCAGTATTGTTAAGCGGAAGGGAAGAGTTGCAGGGGTCAGAATTATGAATGTAAACATGAACCACTACAATTGCATTAATAATGTCTTCTTGTAAAAACCCACTCAAAATCAAACCGGATTGACTTTTAATATCCTCAATGATAATTATCCTAGCCTTGCAGTTGAACTTGAAAATTCCACATTAGTTTCAGTGGTTACAATCAAGACGAATGCAGAGACAGAAATCCTCTCTCTGAATCAAGCTGCACCATGCAGTGCTCAGAGTGGTTCAAATTCATGAATAAAAATGTGAATGTCTCCAAAATAATCACTGAATGTGAATGAATACGTTTGGTATTTAGCTGTTGAAAGGCTGAAGCAAGAGCCTTCTGCAATTAGGACTTATTTTTATCAAATGTACTATGGTATATTTGTATACTAGAATATTTATAAAGTACCAGTAATAATCAAACATAAAAAAGCTCTAATGATTGCAGCATACGATATGACATAACATCCTAATTTCTGTACATGGTAATTTGCAGAAAAGTAGTCCACAGTGTTCTGTTTTCCCTATCATTAAAATACAGATTGAGAAATTATAGCAGGTGACAGTTTGTACAAAATTTTGGGGTTTTACCATGTCTATATTAAAGATAGTAACTTTTCAAAGTTAAGACTCAAAGAATTAAAAATTAATTTTTTTCTTCACAGACATGGAATAAAAAATGAATTCTGTTACTAGAAGTGGCTTTAATGCGTACAGTCCCTACAGCAGCTTTTCCTAAATGGTGGATTTTATGCTTATACAGTTGGATGCCATCACAGTGGACTGTTTCTATGTTTGTGCCTCATGAAGTTAGCTCCTCGATGTTTTGGGGCCTGTGCAGCTCTTGCTTCACCCTGTCCCAACCCACAGTTGTTGCTGTTGCTGGCTCCACTCCAGTATCTGACAGCACCAATGCCATGATCAGCTTTATAATGCCTAGCTGCACCTGTCCTTTTCTGTCTGGCTGGTGCGGGATGCAGAGATGTACCAGCTACACCTGTGTAGGGCCAGTATTACTACAACAGGATTTATTACCCTGGGCTCCTTTGTGTTATTCGGTGCCACTGGGCTTACACCTCATTTGCGGAGTCTGCTTTACAAGTTGCTGTGGGATGCTGTAGAAAGACATGTCCTTCATCCTACGTTGTGTTGTCTGGTACTTTGTGGGAGAAAGAGGGGATGAGTAGAAATCTCTTTCTTCCCTCTCTTCACCAATTTTCTCTACAAGTGGACAGATACCTGCACAGATGACTGTGAAATGCATGTCTCATGCATTTCATCTGGTGGAAATGTGTAGGATTTTTATTGTATAATCACAAAAATTATCTTTTTATGTGAAATAACTAGAGCTTTTGTAATTAAATATATTAGAATCATTTAGCCATTTGTTTGGTGAATTAAATGAATAGCTACGCACTACATTCAAGTCAGAACAGTAATATACTGTGCAAGCTTCAAGCCTCCAGTTTAATCTGTCACCTAACTTCATAACTTTCTCCATCTTTTTCCTTGCTTATGTATCCAGTTCTTATTTGAAAGAGTGCAAGGGGTGTCTAAAGCCACAATTATTGATCTGGATGCTCATCAGGTGAGTAGCTTACCTGTATTCAGTGCTGCCGATGTTTTGCTTGAAATACAAGTGTGTGATAAATACCATTTTTTCTAACAGTAGCATAAACTGTCAACTGACAGAATACAAAATTAATCATAGATGATGGAAACTGAACAGTTTTAATTGTTTAATTATTGTATGGTCCAAAAGGCTGTTAAGCCAGTTTAATAAAATTAAACTGAGTTGTAGCTCCATCATGTGGCTAGATGTAAAAATATTTGAGTTGCATACTGATCTGAGGCGTAACAGTCTCCAGAGTAGATCAGTATTAGAGCAAGATCAGAAACAAGAATCTCTTAAAACAGAATTACAGTTAGTTCAGTGTGTGTGATCATTGCAGCAGCCTTTGCAGTGGATGAATTTTTGCCCTTCAGTGTTTTAATGGAAAGCCTGGCTTCAGGCTAATAAAGTAAAGAATACGTCACTCTTCACCTGGTAAAGTGATTTACTGTGGGTACTGAGAACAAATTTCATCTTTGGTAGGATTTCCAAAATAAAACCTGAAAGGAGGGAAACAGTATTTTTATAAAAGCAGGTAATGCACCAAAGTTATGTCCAATCTGAAGCTTTCAAGATAATTTATTATGTGTAAGTAAACCATTTTTAAGTAGCTCCATGGCAGTGAGGAAGCCTAATGGCTGGAAGTTTTCCATCTTCTATCATTTCTCTTATCTGGTAGTTAAGGCATCCTAAAATTACCATGAAATAAGGACATAGATTATGCAATAGAAAGATGTTTTGTGTTCATCATTCTCTTCAGCCATCTCTGTCAGGGCGTGGATTTTTTTGTGCTTTTTGGGGTGTTTTGTTTTTGTTTTGTGGTTTGTTGGGTTTTTTTGTTGTTGTTTTTTTTTTTATTTCTTGGAATGTATTTTGATTTTCGGGTATCATGCTGGTAATCTCAGCCTGCACACTATATCATCCCTTTGTTTCCTTTCTTTAGGGAATGAGAGATAGTGAAGTAGTAGCTCAGCAGATCCTTTTTAAGTATGCAGATATTCTCATCTTCTAAGTGTTCCAATTCTTGGTGCATTGCCGAGTTTCACCTTTCATAAGAAAATGGTTCACCCAGAGGCTCTCATGTTCCTAGATTTCTGTTCATGAACTATTTATTTGTGGACCAAAGGTGCTGAAGAAATAAGTAGGAGTTGCCATTTTTTAGCATAAAGAAATGCAATTCAGGTTCTTCCCATTCCCTTTTTCACACACATTGACTAGCTTTAGCCCAGCAGTTCTTTTTTTCTTTGTTTCCAGGAGGGGAGGTTGTAGCAGAAATACAGCTTAACTGTCCAGGGACATAAATTATGTAACTGAATTACTGAAGATGTATCTGTGGAAATGTCTGTTTCTGTAGTTTAAATTAAATTCTATTGGGAGTAGGGGCTGGGGTCCTGTATGATACACTGATTTCAACAAAATTATCTTAGTGATTGCTGTAAAAAGATGATTTTTATACTAGTGGAAAAAATTCTGAATGAGAGCCAAAAGAATAGTATTTAAATTCAGAAATGGGGGAGGGCAAAATATTGAGAATTTGATTTTACTCTTGAGCATCCGTCTTTACACCCAATACAATCTTTTTGTATGGAATTCCTGGTGTTTAATGTGTTAAACTGTTGGGTCTTCAGTGTTTGTAACTTTTCCAGGGATTACTTATCTCACCAAGGCTTGAATTATCAGAAGAGCTGTAGTCTGCTTTATTTATTTATTTATTAATCCTTGTATAAGAATATGAGTATCCCTACAGCAGTTGAAAGTGACTTTTTTTTTTTTTTTTCGAAATTGGAAGATGAGAAATCTATTTGGTGGTCACAGTTGCTTTTGTGATGCTGCTGAAGAAAATTAGTTTCGAATTTTTGTTCATTTTTCTTGTATGTGCAATGAGATCTATGATAATTACCTTCACAGAGATATAAGGATGTTGATTTTGATAATACCTGCAGTCTTCAGACTGATACTGTCAAAGCCCCCAGAACTCTACACTTCAAAATAACCTTCAAGACTATAAATAAGAGAATGACACAGGAATTTTAAATATTAGATCTTTGTAGTCTTAATTACTCTAGAATTTGCAGATTATTTAATTCTGTGTTAGTATGCTAGGAGTAGCTAACTGTTAATTTCTTTCAGGGAAATGGCCATGAAAGGGACTTCATGGATGATCATCGGGTATATATTATGGATGTGTACAATAGATATATTTATCCAGGGGATGGATTTGCTAAACGTAAGTAAATTGAAAATCATATTCCAAAATGCAAAAGACCTACTGTGTTGTTAAATAACTTCTTCATTTACTAATAAGCTTCCTTGCAACGTTAACTAGACTTTTTTTTTTAATTTCACATTGAACATACGATTTTCAATGATCATTATGATCTATCATAATATTGTGAACGCTGTAGTGTTTTCCCTCACATCTGGAATGAATTTCTGGAATGCAACGTGTAAGTATTACACAGACTTTGTTAGCCGTCCAGCTAAAAGCTCATGCCATGGTTAGAACACTGAGTTAAATAATCCTTTTGATTTGAAGATAGCTGTTAGAACTTAATCTTTCCCTTACGCTAAATTTATAAAAGAATTCACTAAGGATTAGCTAATACTGCGTAAAAAGGTTTCATGTTCTTCTGAAAGTTACAAATTATAACATATTTAGGTGTTGTTTTTCTGGTAGAACTTGTTTTATAAGCATCTAGAAAACAAGATGCATCTGAATATGAAACAAGTTGGGAAGCAGAAGGAAGTCATACAAATGTTAAGAGCTGGTGCTTGATTCTTGTTGTTGTTTGTTTATCCCTACTGTGATGTGCCTGTTGTGTCTGGTGACCTGTCACGATTAATTAGTGGGGTTTTGATAATGGTTAAATGGGAATGCAAAAGTCCAAAGTTTATTTGATCTTTGATTGTGTTACACTGTCACTTATTACAGGCTTAATTTGTTAACTGAATTATAGCTTATTGGGGGAGATATTCTTCTGCTGCTGAATTTCTTCAATTATGCTCTCATTCTGAAAAGCCTACTTAATTTGGATTCTTGGCAAGAATTAAGTTCAGTGCATTTTACTTATGTTTTCTAACTAGTAAAGATTTTGAAAATTGCAGTATATGTATTTCAAGGTATTAAACTAAAAAATGACCATTTAAAGCACATCATGTCTGTAAGCAGACAAATTGCAAGCAAATGAAGATTTTTTTTTTTCTAAGAAAAGCACGCCTTTATTCATATATCAAATGGCAACATTTTGAACAGATGGATTAAGACCAAAACAGAGTAAGCCATTGTTAGCAAATCTGAAATACTGAACTCGCCCCTCTCCTGTGAAGCTGGGAATACTAGCATTCCCTTTCTACAGATGAAGCATGAGGTGCAGAAGGCTGCCACCAAAGGCATGTTGAATATGTAGTTCCTTGTAGCTTGCATAAGTGTGTCTAAATTAGGAGTTCAGTGGCTAAATCCTTTAAACTCTCTCCTGCTAGGTGACCAGACAAAGATGAGATCAGGGAGGGCGTCTTTTTGAAAGGAGGTAGAGGCTTGAACCTGAGAGTTTGAATCCTTAGGGTAAACTCTAACTGATCACTGTCTCCCTGGACTTCCTACTCATTTTCTCCATGTTTTATTACAGGAGTCTCTTCTATATATTTTTTTGTCCCATGCACTTCATTAGGAAAAAAAAAAAAAAAGACCAGCTAACATTGCGTAATGCTTACCTGTAAGCATATTGAGTCCCTAAGGGGAAGTAGTTTGGAATTACACAGAAGTTTAGGAAAAGAAAGGAGAAGATGGATGGGGAAAAGGACTTGTTCACTAAAGGGTGAGCATAAAAAGTTGACAGCTGAAACTCAAAGTTCAGGTCTTAAAAAAGCATTGCTGTTGGTCTGAGTGTCACTTTACAGTTTTTGAAGCTGTAGAAGTACATTCACTAATTAGCAAGATAACTAAACACTGTAATTCTGTGTTTTGTGGTGGAGATGAAGACAAGAGACCTGCAGAGGCATGGAATCTTATTCACAATCGTCTCAACTTCTTAATGGTTTCATCAGAACAATACTTATTTGTTCCCCATGCTAATGTGTTTACCTCTTCCTCTAAAGCTCTATCCAGCTAGTGGATTCTTTATCCTGAAGAGGCTTTAAGTGCTGTTCAGAAGAGCACAGCTGTGCAGACTTATGTAACAATAATAAAAGAACTCAGGAAAAATATCATAAAGAAACAAAAATCTTTGAAACTAATGTTGATGTAATAAAATAAAGGAAAGAAAAAGAATGCTTCACTAATGTTGAACAAGGATGGAAAGCAGGAAAAAACCCCTACCCAGCAGTCATGAGAGTAAATAAGTATCATTCTGTGTTGAATGCATTCATGCACACTTGGTGGGTGCTGCATCTACACTTAAGATGTAAGACTCCAAGTCATTTAATTCAAGGCATAGGGTATGGTGAGGTAGAAGTCATTCCTTGAATCACTTCTGACATAGATTTGATTAATTCAGATTTAGAGTTACACATAACTCTGTAAAAGCACTCAAAGCTAGACTGCGTAACCTTGGGTTTCTTTCCTCTGCCTTCTCAACCCTCTTCTTCTACTTCTAATGCTTTATTAGAAGCATTAGAAATAATTTGATTTAAATTAAGAATAGATATTTGCTCTTCTGGTAGGATTATGGGGTAAGAAAATTAAATTGAAAATGCTTGGGGCAAAGCTGAATCTTGTTATACATTCATAAAGCAGTTCACATAAATTCATGATCCCTTGCTGTTAAGTTTTGAGTGTTGTTATAAAAATAAAACATCTTAATAATGTCTCAGTGATACTTATCTTGTTGTATTTTCCCCCAACTGTTTCCTGTGCAATAGCAATTCAGTGTTTTCCTTCCCTTATGCTTTATTTAGGCTGCTTTTAAGTTAATAATTTTCTTTATGATTTCTTTGCTGATTGGTAAATGGATGTGTAGTTCATCTGCTTTTCAATAACGTTTTCCACTTGTGTCTCAGAGATATTTTTTCCCCCTGCATCTAATTTTCTCTCTTCAATGGAATTTTTTCAAGGTCATTATGCTTACATTTGCTGGGAAAAGAAGTAGTTGAATAATTTTCTTTAATTCAAGGTTCTGTGAAAAAGCGATGTATTTACAAAAATTCCAGAAATGTTATCTTTTTCTCTTGCTTACCTAAATTTTCTTTCAAAGCAATGCTTTGTTTATTGAGTAATATTGAAACTTTTTTTTTAGGTGCCATAAAACGCAGGGTGGAATTAGAGTGGGGTACAGAGGACACAGAATATCTTCAGAAGGTACATACTCATGTGGAAGGAGCATTAAATGAATTAAAACCTGACATCATTGTTTATAATGCTGGGACTGATATTCTGGATGGCGATCCATTGGGAGGACTTGCTATTTCGCCTCAGGTTTGTATAATACTAAAATACCTACAGACTTTCACTCCTCACTAGATACTGAAGGCAGTCCTGAGAATGACTTGTGGCCGTTTGTTAGCTGAAGGTAAGGTGCGTACTTTACGCTAAACCAGAGCATTTTCCTGTTATAGATACGTATAGATACATCTCTGTTGCTCTTTCACCGTATGTTTTTTGTTGTCTCCTCCTGACCAAATATTTTTGTTCTTCAGGTGCCTGTTCCAGTATCATTTGTCGTCTTTCTAAAATATATTGATTTTGAACATCCAGACAGTAACCAGAGAGGCATATAATTTCACACTTCACCTGACTCCTATTTTTCCTGTTTGGTTGGTTGGTTCTTTCTTTGTTTCTTTTACCCTCACATAACCCATTTTGCAATGTATTTCTTTTGTCTCCTGCCCCCAGTATGTATCTTACACTTAATTTTCTCTGTAGCACTCCCAGCTGTTTTAAACTGCTCTTCTGGTGTCTTCCAGTTGTAGCAATTTTGTGCAGCCTGTCTGTGAGTTCTTAGCAAATGAACAGATTTTTTTCCCTTTCCTCATTCTTTTCTATACAAATATCGTTACCCTTTTTCAGTTCAGTTTACCTTCTCTCTCACCAGTTTGGTACCAGATTTAAATATTGATTTATTCTGTATAGCTTCATAGAAGTCTTCATCTTCCAGATATAACAGGTCTGCTTTTCTCAAAATAAAAAAAAATTATGGATCTCTTATTTCCTCCATTTTTTTAATGATTCCTTCTCTGACATCTCCTTGGTTCCATCTCCTTCCTGTTTTCACATTTGGTTCTCTTTTAGTGTCCACCAGTTCAATATAGGAAGTGCTTTCTTGATTTGTGAGCTCTCTGATTCCCTTCTAATCGAGCCATGACTCGATCTGTTCAGTTTTCATTCTGTTTTGCAGTACTTTAGTTCTCAAATTTTAGTTCTCATTTAAATAGTTCTCATTTACGCAGAGCTCTAGTTCCTTGCTGGGTTTTATTGGCTTCCTTATGTATTTCTTCATTCTTATAGTCTCTGTCACTGAGCAGCCACTTCATTGCTTTCTGACTGCCTGCAAAGTCCTCAGTGAACCCAAGGTGGAATGACTTGGGAGCCACTCTGAATTTCCACGTTTTGTTTCCATGGATTTGTAAAAGTCTCTAAGGAGAAAGGAAGAGCTGAGGGGCTTGGACTTTGTTGGTTTTGACCTTGGAGAGGATATGACCTGAGGTGTAAGATCTCATTTTGTGGAGCAGAGGCTTTTGGAAAGCAGTGGCCACCAAGAGAAATGGAAGCTAGTGACAGATGGAGAATACTTTTAAGATGTGCCTTCTCAAAATTTTTTCTGCTGTTTGAGAAGGAGCAGTGTTAATGGCCAAGAAAAATGAGTTGCTGTAGCTTGCTGGGTGCTGTGCAGGGGAAGAGACAAAATGTAGGGATGGGGAAAGAAAGGTGAAGTGATTCTTCTGGTCACAAGCAGAGACAAAAGGCAGAGTGCCATTTCTCTGCACAACCAGTGGCTCAGGTGCCTGATGGAGAAAAGGTTTCTGTAGCTCAAGCCTTTGTTTTCTGAATTGAGGGCAGGGCTTCTTGCCTCTCTTATCTTGTTGGCTTAGGTGTGAATGGCATGTTTCACCAAGCTTGAAATCCCAGGCTACTGGAAATGCTGAAACTGAGGGCATTGAACCTGGATAATTCATCTGTTCAAGGTTCATTAGTCCAGTCTTCAGTTCTACAGTTGTAGATGTCATTCATATTTTAAAATCTTGCTGCAGTGTTTATTCTACTTAAAATTATGCCTCCTCAGAGTGCTATGAGTGATAGTTACTTGGTGCTTGAGGCTATAGCCAGAAAACTTGCAGTGTAGCAGGTAAGTCCCTCTTTGTTTGTAAGTGGGAACTGTATCAGGCTGTCATTTTCATTGGGTGTATTTTCTGTCTTCATAACACGCAAATGCTGGAATAAGCCCATGTGTTTTCCCTTCAGTTCTTCCAGGCTCAGCCACTAGAGATGCTGGAGCAGGGATGGGACGGTTATGCTCCTATGAATAGTGACTGCTTCCAGTTCTTGTGTGGTATAATGTTTACTGCATCCAGCAATGGTTCCCAAGGGATGTACAGCTCATTCTGTAATTCTGTTACTTCCTTTAAGGATCTGTTCCTAATATAATTCTTCAGTTTCCTTTGTCTTATTTTTTAGTTATTATTCCTTACTCCCATTGTTCTTTTACAGGGCTGTGTCAAACTATACAAAAACCATTACTGTTGTATGCTTTTACAGAATATTTTTTTCAGCTACATTTGAATTTTAGTCTTTCCCTTTACCATTTGTTTGTGGTCTAACTTTTTTTAATGGCAGGGTAATATTTCCTGACGTATTTACAGTCTTCCTCTAACCAGTCTGAGTAGTGCATATTCATTTTGTTGTAACACCTTTGTTGCTGCTTCCTTAATTTTTTGTGTTTGATTGCATTTTAATTCTTTTCCCCTTCTCCAGCTTTTGCAGTTACTTACATTTTGAGCTGTCCATTGTAAGCTGTTGTCTGTTATGTTGTTAGTCTTTTTTTTAGGAGTTGTAATGGATTATTTATGCCTCCTATGTTTCTCTGGAACTCTCTGCTTTTACTTTTTCCACAAAAGTAGATTTTAATTCTGTTCTCACTTATTTCTGAATTCTCTCTTTTCTCCCACGTGTACTAATTTGAAACCTAAGAGACTGGAAGTTTTCTGTTGTATGGGTTCAATGACAGTACAGTACCTCTTGACCAGCAATCTTTGTTAGTTCCATACCCTTCTCTATTAGTAAGAGGTTATTTAGAATTTATTTTCCTTTCTGTGGATTTACCATTACTTACATTCTGCAACTCCCCCTTCAGCCATGGATTCTTTCAGTATTAGCTTTTATTAAAGAAACTGGAGGCTGATAATTCAGCTAGTGATTGTGAACATGTAACATCTGATTTGAATTTTTCGTTCTTATGTAGATTTGTGAAATCTTGATCAAGTTGCTAAACTTTTGTCAGAGGGTGCTATGCAAGTTGAGCACAAACTAAAGCACTTTGAATTAAGACAATCTTTCTTCGTCTCAGTTCCTCACCTGTAAAATAGGGTGAACATTTCTGAACTTTGTAGTCAGTTTAGACTTCATGGCCTTTGAGCAGGAATTCTTCTAGGAATTTATACTAAGACTTTTATCTGTTGTGTCCTCTAAAACCAAGTCAAGGATTTTTGGTTTGTTGTTTTTTCTTTTTTTTTTTTTTTTAATGATTATGCATGTAAACCTGCTAATGGGACTTTTAAATGAATTTTTGATTTGTGTTGTAAAATGTAGGGCTTAATCGCTTATTAAGCATCCGATACTATAAATCCATAAACCATAGCCTAGTACTAAAATATCATATTTGTGTCACTTTTTTTTTTTTTTGGTAACTGCTGTAAACTTGCAGGGAATTGTGAAGAGAGATGAAGTTGTGTTCAAGGCTGCCAGAAGGCGCAGAATCCCAATCCTGATGGTGACATCTGGAGGCTACCAGAAGAGGACAGCACGGATTATTGCCGATTCCATCCTCAATTTGCACAACTTGGGGCTTATTGACAAGGAGCTAGCAACCAGTGGAGCTGAAAACCCTAAGGTAGAACAGATGATTAGAGACTCTGCTAAAGACCTAACCAACTTGTCACTGCAATGACAAGTTACTAAATTTTAGGAAACGGCTTCCTGGTTTAGGAGCAGCAGTCCTCCACATCTTTATCAGGCTTAATAGAACATATTTTAAAAAGACTCAACTTGCCTGTAAAATAACACAGTAGAGATAATACGCAGTCACAGAATAACCGTATCTAACTTCTGAAGCTATCTTGAGCAAAGGCAACAAATCCTTTTAAGCTAATTGAGACATATACTCAAGGGTACTGTCTTTCAGTTTATAATATTACTGTAGAAAGCTTTAATTGCTTATCTTATTGTTATGGGTAGTCTATTATGTTGAAAGAACTATGCAGTTGGTATCCAAAGACTGTCCCAGACCTATTTCAGATGATGCAGTTCAGACTATGGTGGGAGAAATATGGACTAAACGTACTGGCATTTTTTTTTTTAGATACTGCATTTTATTTATGCTTTTTTAATTGAAATATTGTTATAAAACGAGTCCTGTGCAGGCTTCAACTGTCAGTTTAATACTACAGTTAAATGCAATACTGTAAAACACAGTTCAGTTGGTAGGCTTTTAAGCCACAGCCTATTGGAATGAGAGTTCATTAACTTATATTTTATTCTTGTTGTTGATAGTGACTTAAATCCTGCTTATAAACACCTTGAGAAATAAAATATGAAATACCTTTGGCTCCCTATGCAAGTGAGCCATAAGGGCTCAGCATTAAGTCTAGTTTTTGCCTCTCTTAAAATGAGGCCTGCATATAAAAGGCAATAGTTACTATGCATTGTAAATCACAGAGTAAAGAAACGACAATAAAATGAAAACTAATTTTAGAGTTCTGAGAATTCTTGCAGAAAATATTATGTCGAAATATAGGGTATCTTTTATTATTGGCAGCTTGTCATGTATAAGACAGCGAAGAGTAAATTTTGATTTCTGCCCCCCTGCCGCCCCCCAGTGCTGTGTTTTTCACTTGCTCGAAGAGTAATGGTACTTATAGTTGCAGTCATAGTTGGTAACCAAACTGTTCATATTTACAGATAAAAATACCGTGAAATTTCTACGTTAAGTTAATGTGCTAACTTTATATGGGAGATTCTAGGAGGAATTGGGAACAAAATAGTGTATTCAGAAGAAAATTCAGTACACTAACTGTAAAGTTTGGGTTTATTTAAGTTGGTATATTTTGTATTAGGTACTGTTTGTAGCATTGGGTTGTAAACATACTAAACTGTATATTTTGCAAGAGCTTTTTTAACTTCCAAGTATTCACTGATTTGTAGTACAAGTTTCCCATCATATTTAGGTTTGAGCCTTTCTATGAAGAAACACCAGTATTTTCCTTGTAGTAGAATTGGTGTATAAGCTATTTAAGGAATGTTTAATTCTAATTAGAATACTTACCTCACTTAGTGTTAATTTTTAGATTGATGGGGTTTGTTAATTGTAGGAACTTGCACAATTGCTATAAATACCTGCTTTAAAACAGATCTGACATACTGCACTAATCTTGAGTTGCAACACTGTTATTAAAAAGCACTTTTAAATTTCTTACTAGAAGGACCATCAGAGTACAACTAATGTTGAGATTTATTTTTTCTATACTGTCTGATGTTACTGAAAGATGTTGTTATTCTTTCTTATAATTTTTATAAAATTATAAATCACATTTCTATAAACTAAAACCCTGTCATAGTACCATACAGTCTTTTCCAAAACATTTTCTGTTTGTGTTAACATATTTCTATTATTTTCCCTTGGTGAAGATTAAAATGATGTTGCACAATGCCGATTGACTTTTCTTTTCACTTCACATGTATCTTGGCGGTCAAAAACTTTGAATGAAACAGTTTATTGAAAAGACAAGAAGATGTGTTTTTCATACTTAAGATGTAACTGAAACTGCAGTGAGTCTTAAGCGTGAATAGTACAAGGTTTGTCAACAGTGGATGACTTCTCTGAGAGTTAATGTGTTGACCTCTTAAAGTGAGCTTGGAAGTTTTGTATCCAAATACTTTTTAAGATGTTATCATGAGGGGTTAAAGTCGCTTTCTAATGACAAGTTACATTTCATTACCTATATTGTCACTCCTGTTTTAAGTATTTTGTTGTTACAGGTATTAAACTGTAAACTAAGCTTCTGTTAGGGCTGCGATAGTTTGTTAGAGGTCTTTTATAAATCAATATCTTTTCAGAGAGAACTAAATGTTTGCAGAAGAGCCTGCTAGCTTTCAGACTCATCTGTAAAATTTGCGATTGTTAAGCAATGGACATATTGACTGCATTTTCAGTGTTCATTATAAAGTTAGAATTGGTAAATGGATAACTCCTTCACATTTTTCAAAAATTTTAATTTAGTGTAATACTTGTCTTGGTTGTTGAAACCAAAAGATTAATTTCTACACATTAAGAAACTAGTCCAAGATAAATGTGTACTGTTTTTCAAAAAGAAGTGGTGAAACTGTTTCTAGGTTGAATTTAGACCACAGATATTGTATAATTCATAGTTAACATACTGTTATTGTTAGGCAAAGTTCACTGAAAACTTCATCATGGAAACCTTGCCTTGACCTACCACCATCAAAATTTATAGCTTTGACAAAAACCTTTGTGGAACGCAAAGACCCATGTAAGTCTGCTAGGAGAATGCCATGTAGTCACAAATTTTACGGGGGAAAAAGTGTGGAGTTTTGTTGGTTTTGGGATTTTTTTTGTTTGTTTGTTTTAATTGCAGTTGTAACTACAAAATCCTCCTAAAATAGTCTTGAAGAAAGACCTAGTAGGTCTTGCCTTTCATACGATATTAGTTGTGACTCAAATTACTTAAGAAACAAATAGTGAGGATTGTTCAATAGCTTATAGTTAATGTACAAACATTCATTTCTTGCTAGTCAGCCATGTGTGAAATTTATTTAAAAAATAAACTGAAGAGCTGGTGTCTTCATCTACTTGATTCGACAGTTGGCATGTCGAGCTCCAGCCCCCCTTGCTTCTCTCACAGTTGACAAACAGTATAGAACACTCAGCATTAAAAACACTGGGTGTTGTGGTTGTAGTCTTACACTGACTAAGTTTTAGCTTCAGATAGTAATATCAATCTCTTTCACACTGAAGGTATGATTTCTTTGTTTGACTTTGATGGTTTTTTTTTTAACATCCTGCATTGTCAAGTCCCAGACTTGTATCATGAATACAAGGAAGAATTTGAGAAATGCTGTAGTCAGACAGCTGTGATAAAAAAAAATTATGAAAATTAATTGGTAGACAGCTTCCTGGGGGGGGTGGGGGTGGGATAGGTAGTGTTTATGTTCAGTAAATAATAAATGTCCATGCTCCCAGGTTCCCTACTCCTTGATGTTCCTCACAGCTTGAGGAACCTAATGACCCTGAAACAGTGTCCTGGTACTTTCTGGTCCTGCTACCAAAGTTGTTCAGCAGCGTTTCTGCCTCCTCTTGCACATACAACAAGGCACACAGTTCTTTTCAGTGCTGGCTGCATATGTTTTTTGTGGTCTGTGAAGTGACACTTAAGAATTTCTTGTACTTCACAAATTGTACTGTACAATTGTGTCCTACATGCAACATAGCCACTTTGGGGAGAATACTCTCTGACAAATCCAGAAGTTATGAAGTTAGTAATCCTGGATCTAGACTTTGCTCATACTGTGCTGCCAGGAGCTGAAGGAGCTTGCTGAGTTCAGAAAGCTGCAGGGTCTAGGATCTTGGTGCTGTGTGCTATGCCAGTTTTTGAATAATTGAAAACATTCTTCTTTCAAGAAAACTGCAGTCCCTTGGTGAAGAAGAAAATTCACTTGCTATCTGTGGCCAATAGAAGATGATCTTCCTTATACCGCTGGTTGATTCTGAAATGCAGAGCGTATCAAAGCAATAATAAAGGGCCTAATTCCAAGTGATGCTGTGTCCTGAACTTGCCTTGAATTTAGCATGGGTTGTGTATTCCCCAGCCATTCTAGAGGCAAGCCTGCAAATTGTTAAGTATGTGCAAGCCTTTAGCTTAGACTTCAAATAGGTGTGACTTTTCAGGATTTTAGTCTTTCCTTGATCCTGACGCTTTTGGTAATCTCTCAGATTTCCCATCTAGTGCTCATTTAATTTTCACTTCTTTATCTTATCGTTTATGCAGGCCATTTTGCTACAGCCGGTCACTTTTTACCTCAGGTCAATAGAATTAATTTCTTCTAAAAAGAGATGATGTTTTGGTAAGCTGTATGAAGGACCAATTCCTATTACTAGGCCTGATTCTCTCCTAGGCTTACCATGGCAGTGAGAACAGGAGGTTTGTTTTGCTCAGTGCCTGACTCAATGTAAGTACAGTACTGACCTGTAGATGATCCTTAGGATATAACTCCTGCCCTACTTCCTACAGCCTTTTGAATGTGCAAGAATGCTACGTGCTGCACATGGCACTGACTTCCTGAAACTAAATTCAGAATATTGCGGTAAGACAAAATGCCGTTTTGATTGAAAAGAATGAATAGGCATAGGAAGTTATTTTGGTGGGGCTGTGGTTCTGACTTACCAGCCTGGTGGAGTTCTGACCTCCCCCCCCACAGCTTTCTTGAGATTAAACTTCTGGTTGGAGATGAATTAAGTACAAAAACTACAAAAAGACTGCCAGTAATGTTAGGCACGTCTTGTGTTACCAGTCCTGCAATATTATATTTTACCAGAGCAGTGGTGTGTGGAGCCACACTTCTATAAATCACACTTCCACAAACAAGTGTGCGGCACACTTCCATAAATCATTTCTTCCTTCAAAAGTAACATTACAGATAATTGGTTAGACTATTTGTTGTCAGATATAAGGCTAGTTATATATTTCACTAATAAGGTCCAAACTCTTGTTTTATTCTACAGTTGAGAGTAGACATCTTTTGAGCTTGACTGGGACTGATTATCTTTATTCTGGAAATGCTTGTTTGATTTGTGTTTTTAAAAAAAAAAAAAGAGAGAAAAGGGAAAAAAATGTATTCAGGGCCGACCTAAAATGCATCTTGTCTTTATAGTATCTTAAATTTAGTCCTTGGTAGAGTTATAACAGATTGCAATGCTTTGTAAGAGCAAAGAGGTGTCTCCTTTCTTTCACTTTTGACACCTAAGAAAGATTGTAATTAA